ACTCCCTGCTGCTCTGTATCTTGCTCTCTCACTGGCTGCCGGTGATCGCCGATGTAGTTTTCAGTCAAAACACTTTTCACACAGCAGGATTTTGAATCGCTGACAGGTCCAGATATTTAGCATGCCAAATATCTCACGGGCGTCGGCGACTCGTCGGTGATTCTCTCAGTTCGCGTCTTTGTTCATTCACACTGCGTGATTGTCACTCGCGTGAACGAGCGCCGATTTGCCTGTGATTTCGGGCATTTGTCGGCGATTTCTCAAAACCTGTCGGCGAGCCAAAATCGTGGCTAAAATCATGCAGTCTGAACTCGGCATAAGGGACAGAGGACGGTGAGCATCACCAACACACAACTGCCATCTGGTGGCCAACCCATTCTCCCAGCTTTTCTACAGTTGGAGGGGGTTAATCAAGAAGTCTCTGCACTTATTGACTCTGGAGCGGAGGGTGACTTTATGGACATTGAACTAGCTGACCGCTTGGGTATTGGACGTTCTCTCGTGACTGAACCCATTGCCGCCAGAACCCTATGTGGTACCCCGCTTACTGAAATTACCCAGTCCACTAAGCTGGTCAAACTTACCATTTCGGGCAATCATACCGAGGAGATTCGTTTTCTTCTCATACACTCTCCTTCCGCTCCAGTGGTGTTGGGGCATACCTGGCTGGTTAAGCATAACCCGCACATTGACTGGATCCTTAATTCAGTGTTGGCGTGGAGTCCTTTCTGTCTGTCTCAGTGTTTAATGTCGGCATCATCTCCGTTAATGTCTGTTTTTACCCCACAGGAGGAACCGGTGAACCTGGCGAACGTACCAGAGGTTTACCATGACTTAAGAGCGGTGTTCAGTAGGTCTCAAGCTGCATCTCTCCCTCCGCACCGCCCGTACGACTGTGCGATTGAACTACTTCCTGGTACTTCTCCACCCAAGGGGCGCTTATACTCGCTCTCCGGTCCTGAGAGGGAGGCCATGGAAAGATACATCAACGATTCTCTGCGAGCCGGTATAATTCGACCCTCTTCCTCTCCAGCTGGGGTGGGATTCTTCTTCGTGGGGAAGAAAGATGGGTCGCTTCGTCCTTGTATAGATTTTCGGGGACTGAATGACATCACGGTAAAGAATAGCCACCCTTTGCCGTTGATGTCTTCAGCATTCGAACTCTTGCAGGGGGCGACTATCTTTTCGAAGTTGGACCTACGCAATGCTTATCACCTGGTTCGGATTAGGGAGGGGGACGAATGGAAGACCGCTTTTAATACCCCTACAGGTCACTTTGAGTATTTGGTCATGCCTTTTGGACTCTCAAACTCCCCGGCGGTCTTCCAGGCACTCGTTAATGATGTGCTCAGAGACATGGTCGACCGGTTTGTATTTGTTTATCTCGATGACATCCTGATCTTCTCCCAGAACGAGTGCGACCATGTCCAGCACGTCAGGCGAGTGTTACAGCGGCTGCTCGAGAATCGTTTATTTGCCAAGGTGGAGAGGTGTGAGTTTCACGCACGGTCGGTTCCATTCCTGGGTTTCGTTCTGTCGTCCAAAGGCATCCGTATGGATCCAGCCAAAGTAAAGGCGGTTGCGGATTGGCCTACTCCAGAGAATCGCAAGGCGGTCCAGCGGTTTCTGGGGTTCGCCAATTTTTACAGGCGTTTCATTCGGGGTTTTAGTCAGGTCGCCCTACCATTGACGAATCTCACCTCCACACGAATTAGATTCTGTTGGTCAATGCAGGCTCAAGAGGCGTTCGAAACCTTAAAGAGCCGCTTTGTTTCGGCTCCTATTCTCACCAACCCTGACCCGTCTCGTCAATTCGTTGTGGAGGTGGATGCGTCGGATGTAGGAGTGGGGGCAATTTTGTCTCAGAGGTCTCCTTCGGACGACAGAGTACACCCATGCGCTTTCTTTTCTCATCGTTTAACTCCTTCAGAACGGAATTACGACATCGGGAATAAGGAGTTACTGGCTGTTAAGTTGGCGCTGGAGGAGTGGCGTCACTGGTTGGAGGGTGCAGGGGTTCCATTTATAGTTTGGACCGACCATAAGAACTTAGAATACATCCGTTCCGCCAAAAGACTAAATTCTCGGCAGGCTCGCTGGGCATTATTTTTCAGCCGATTTGATTTTAACATCTCGTATCGCCCTGGTAGTAAGAACGGTAAGCCCGATGCGCTCTCACGGGTTTTTGAAGTAGAGGCTGGATCCACCTCTCCAGTGACTATCGTGCCTCCCAACCGGGTGCTTGCGGCGGTTACTTGGGGGGTGGAGTCCAGGGTCCATGAGGCGTTACGCGACGTCACGATTCCCGCCGAGTGTCCAGCGAGTCTGTTGTTTGTGCCGGAGCAGGTCCGAACTAGCGTACTTCAGTGGGGTCACTCATCCAGTCTAGCTTGCCACCCGGGAGCTGCTCGAACATGTTCGTTAATCAAGCAACGGTTCTGGTGGCCTTCAATGGCTCGGGACACTCGAGAGTTTGTTTCGGCCTGTCCGGTGTGTGCGGTGGGTAAGGGCTCGAATCGACCCTCAGCAGGGCTACTCCGGCCACTGTCTATCCCTTCGAGACCCTGGTCACACATAGCCATGAACCATGGGCGTTCGGCAGAACCGTTGACTTGGAGTTCTAGATTAACCGTGGTTGAGTACGCACATAACTCACTCCAGGTCTCGTCTACGGGATTGTCGCCCTTCCAGTGCTGTTTAGGCTACCAGCCCCCGTTATTTCCCTCCCAAGAGACCGACGCCATGGTTCCATCCGCTCAGACGTTCATTCAGAGATGCCTTCGTACGTGGAGGCTCGCCAGAGAAGCCCTTTCCCAGACTGGCGAAAGGAACAGGGCATCGGCGGACCGTCACCGGTCTAAGCCCCCACTTTACGTGTGTGGTCAAAGGGTTTGGTTGTCTACCAAGGACATTCCCCTCAGACTTCCTGCACGTAAACTGGGACCCAAATTCATTGGACCGTACATTATAACTAAGGTGCTTAACCCGGTGACTGTTCGGCTCAAATTACCCCCCCAATTTAAGAGAATTCACCCGGTGTTTCACGTGTCCAAGGTCAAGCCCGTTATTCGCTCTCCACTTCAGCCCCAGACCTCTGCTCCGCCGCCTCCCAGACTCATCGAGGGGTTGCCCGCCTACACGGTGCGAAGACTTCTTGATGTGAGACGGAGGGGTAGAGGTCATCAATATCTGGTAGACTGGGAGGGTTACGGTCCGGAGGAGAGATGCTGGATTCCGGCTCGTGACGTGCTGGACCGCGCTCTTATTGACCAATTCCATCGGCGTCATGGTGAGTCCTCCGGGGACGCCAGGAGGCGTCCCTGAGGGGGGGGGGGTTCTGTCACGGGTCAGGGTGTGTCACCAGTTCCTCGCTGTTGTTTGTTTTGGTCCTGTCTTTTGCTGCAGCATGTTAGGGTGACAATTAGCACAATCGTGAGCTGATCTTCAATTAGCACTATCATGAGCTGATCTTACTCACCTGTCGCTCGTTTCTCTACCCTTTATATACCCAGCTGTGTCTACCAGTGTTTGTCAGTGGATTGTTTTATGTTGCGTGTGCTGGTCTGGCCTGTTTGTGTTTGCTGTGCTACTTACCAGTGATCTGTGTTCAGGATTCCTAGACGTGTGGATCGGTGCAGGACTGTGCATCTGCTAGTTCATGTCCTCGTCAGTTGCTGTGCATTCCTGGACTCTCTGTTCTGACGGTGGTCTCTGCTTCTCTTCACGTCTGCAGTATTGCAGGCTCACCGGAACTACTGATCGAAGAGGCTTCACTATTATTCACTGTGTCACGGAATTAATTGTTCCCAAAGTTTTCTAAATAAACTTTTCACTACTCCTCACTGCATTTGAGTCCTCCTCATCTCTAAACTCCAGGGTTCACGACACTAACTATTTTCAAATGTTCTGATGGAATGCAATAGGGATAAGTGAAAAAAAACAACAACGAAATATTGGATACTTTTTTGGGGGGATTTCTAGGAATTTATTAAACCTTCTCGTATATCCCCAGAATACTTGGGAAATAAGGCATGTGTTGCATGGGATCATTCTGTGATACTTTTGCTTCTTTTTTTTTTTTTATCTTGGTGCTGGTCGTTATTTACTGCTATTCGCAAGCAGGACAAAAATTCTCCTTTTGTGGTCGATAAAAGAAAGGATAGCATATGGCATTAGAACAACACCGGGGAGAGTAAACGATTACATCATTTTCAGGCTATCATTTTAATTTTCAACATGTTAAAAGTCTTAAAGCTTTCTTGAAAACATGAATGTTACTGAGCTGTAATATTGGGTAATTCAGACTTCTCTATGCTGAAGATGAATAAATCATGAATGGACAATCAGTGGCCTAAAGGGATATGCTGGAGACCATGCTGTTGTGCGTCAAATGTGGTCAGACACAGTATCTTGATGCAAACTGATTTTTAATGGTCATGACTCATGCTCATTCACGTGGCTCAGCTTTCCATGATTTAAAAGGGACAGTTCATCCAAAATAAAACATTCTGTCATCATTATGTTTGATAGTGTCTCTGGTCCTCATTCACATTCACTGAATACAATGAAAAGCTTAGACATTATTCTAAATCATTTTGTGTTCCACAAAGGTTTGGAACAACATAAGGGTGATAAAATGATAACAGAATTTTAATTTGTGCCTGCCACAATATGTTCCAATTATGCCACTCTATAAACATGGATTTCTACTTATAAGAATCACTCACTTATAGACCATTTCGCAAGATGTAAACAACACTGGTCCAGAAACACTTCCTGTTTCAGTTTGTAACTGTTTTCTTTATTTCACATGTAAAGAAAACATCTTAAAGATGTTTGTTTAACTTTTTGATTCAGTTTTATATGTTCTGTTTGTTGTATTTTATCCCAGCTTTTATGTAGTGTTAAAAAACTGAAACAGGAAGTGCTTCTGGACCAGTGTTGTTTACATCTTGCAAAATGGTCTAAAAGATTGTTGTAGAGAATTGTACTATACTTACGACTGCTCTGCACATAGATGTCGTAGGATGTCTGGAGGTTGCTGATATTATTCCTCACACTCAGGTCTAAGCAATATGTTCCAGCTGATGTGAAGGTGTAGTTCAGATTGAATATGTTCCCGTAGAGCCTGACTAAATTGCAGGAAGCTGGACTAGGAGTTTGGCAATCAGACAAAAATCTCCAGCACATCCAAACAGGAGGACTACACACATCAAAATTTGATAGAAAAAAATAAAATAATGCATTGATGATTTTAGAATTAAAACACTTTATGAAGATATCAATTGTCTTTGCATTTTTTTTTTTTTTTACTTTGTTGAAGTACATTTTTACCTTCCTCCAACATGAAAGGACAGACTGCTGCTTTCGTCCACGTTATAAGTTGAAGGTCCTCTCAATTCAACGCTCCTTATAGCATCTACAAAACAAAATAATCTTTGACATGCCACATTAACACCACTGGTAATAAATAAATACAAATAGTCAAATCAGAACTAGAACACATGTGTCAAATTTTACACAATATGTGTTGTCCCTGAGCTGATTCAGCACATGTGTTAAAATTTAACACATTGTGTGTTGTTTTTAACACAAAACAACACATAAGCGATAATGACCATGCACCCACCTAACACAGTCAAATACACAGAGTACAGTCCAGTCATTCTGGAATGTTGGGGGTTATTGGTTTCAATGCTCAATTTAAGCGTGTAGTTCCCTGGTATAGTGTAGTAATACTTCAGAAAAGGTGCCGAGCCTTTACGCACTTCCCTAAAAAACAAAGACAACTGTAAAGAAAATCCATTTTATAGTAATTATATATAATTATATAAATATAATATATTATTAATATGGACGATCAAATAAAAATTACCCATTGCCCATGTCCCATGTGTATATAAATGTGACAGAGTGCAGGTTATGCCTCGGGTCAGACAGCTCAAATGAAACCATGGTGGGTATGCAAGATGCCAGCTTCCCACTATCCCGCAAGTATGTTGAATTCCCTTCCATTTGATGAAAAATGATCTTTCCTTTGACATTTCCTATGGTGAAATAAAAATGATGTATCATCAAAATCTACAGCAGTGACAACCATTCAAAATGGATAAGATGACTAGCCAGCTTACCAGATAACTGATGGGTTAACTCGTCGGGTATCCCAAAAGCAATAGAGGAAATCAGTGAGAGAAAGATGTGAACCAGAACACTCCGAATCCTGATGGAAATCAGTTTACAGTTTGAAATAAACATTCAACATAAAAACGAAATGATTAGACAAACTGAGACAAATTTATGTTTATATCTATTATTTAGAACTATTTACCAGTTCATGTGGCCTGCAAATCTGTACAGCCTGTGAGTTGTGAGAGTATGACTGAGGCGTCCAAGCTTTTATGTCTTTCTGTCTGTTTGGTAAAGGCTTGAAATCATATTCGCGTGTTGAATCCTTATGCTTATCTGATTCTGAATAATGACGTGCGTTGTGCTGCCAAAGAGAACATAATTCATGCAGAAACATGACGAATTCACAAGCCCATTCCTCTGGATGAATTTCTAGAGAACGTGCAAAAGTCTCTATATTATCCCAAATCGTTAAAATGATGTAGGCTATTGTAAGCCGAGTCACACCTTTCGCTAGCCTATTTCTCTCAGGTAAGAGACTCTAAATAGCCTACAACACACGTCCGCCATGTGGCGCTGTAAATACGGAAATGTTTATCACTGATTCCCTCTGTCACAGAACTTAGCTCAAATTACTCAATTACATAGATTTTAAGAGGTTTTTTTTTTCAATCCACAAACGAAAACGGACAGTCTGCATAATATAGGCTACGAATATGAAGGCTAGGCCTATTGTATTTTTTTCTTTTAAAAAACGTATTTTGGAAATTAAGTGTAATTGTAAAAGTATTGTGTGTGTGCGTGTGTGTGTGTGTGTGTGTGTGTGTGTGTGTGTGTGTAAGAACATGCTCAAAACAATAAACAAAAGCAAAAAGCAATGAGAAAAAAATATAAAACCGAAAAAAGGATAGATATTCAGACATTTCTGTTTGAGCTTAGAAATCTATGACGTCACGGATCCCACCTTTCCACGTGTGGCTTGAGGTCGCGCGGAAAGGTTTCATCCTCTTTCGATACATCAGTACAGTATCGTGTTCTCCGAGTCCTCGAGCGCGCCCGAGCGCTCTGTTCTCTTCTCTGCCGCTTCACACACGTTAACAGGTGGGACGAAAACACAGATTTACGAGGGAAAGTTAAAACAAATACATTGTCACCAAGGACGTCTGAGGAATACCTGCTAAAATGTCTCGAGCCCCGGAGGAGGTGAACAAACTCACCGAGAGCACATATAAGGTAAAATTCGTTTTAAACTGCTTGTATATTTGTCACTGACTGACCACCTGTTATTAAACCCAGTACATAAAACCTTTTGAAAGTTATGTTGCTAAGTTAAATAATGAGGTACTATTTTCTGGCACTCTTATATTTTTGTCATCAGGGTACGTGTAAGTTGTGCAATGAGTAATGAGTGCATTTCAAAGTAGCCTACTACAGTTGGGTTTCTGGGTTGAGTTAAGAAACCTGTTTGTGCTGGACTGTTTCTGTTATTGCATACTTGACTGCTCATTGTTTTGCCAAGGGTGTGTTCCTGGGAATGAGCTGAGGAATTGACTAGAATTACATTACAGCAGGGCATTTCAATAGAGACATGAAGGCCCTTGAGATAGGCTGGACTTTGATCTCACAACAGGCAATATAATTATAGTTATAAGTAAATGTTTAAACAATGCTATATTTAACTACAGTAGAGAGGTATTTTTAGAAAGTAAAGTTACTGGCAATCTCTTTTATTGCGTGGACAATAAAATGTAACATTGAATGGGACATGTGTCTTTTTGAAACGTGGAAAAAGGAATAGTTCACCCAAAAATGAAAATGTTGTCATTTATATACATCATCATGTTCCAAACCTCAAAGGAGTTGTTCACTTTAAAAAAAAAAAACTTTTGCTGATGATAATTTACTCACCCCCATCTCATCCAAGATGTCCAGGAAATTATAGTTTTTGATGTAATCATTCCAGGATTTTCTCCATATAATGGACTTCATTGGGAACCAAACGGTTCAAGGTCCGAAAGAGATTTTATGTGCAGCTTCAAATGGCTTTAAACGACACCAGGTGATGAATACGGGTCTTATCTAGCGAAACGATAGGTCGTTTAAAAAATAAATAAAAAAGTTTAAGTTTAATAAGCACAAATGCTCACCTTGCTCTGTTCTGTGATGCGCATTCGTGACTCTCCTGTTCGAACTTGTTCATCAAAATGAACAAATCTTTTTTCGAGTCAAGACACGAAGGGTCCTAGATAAGACCCTTATTTATCGTCTGGTGTTGTTTAAAGCCCTTTGAAGCTGCACTGAAACTCTCATTTGGACCTTGAACAGTTTGGTTTCCCAATGAAGTCCATTTTATGAAGAAAATCTTGGAATGTTTTAATCAAAAACCTTAATTTCTTTTCAACTGAAGAAAGAAAGACGTGGACATCTTGGATGACACGGGGGTGAGTGAATTATCAGCAAAAGTCTTTTTTAAAAGTGAACTACTCCTTTAACCCCACTGACTTCTATCAAATGGACAAAAAACAGACATTTTTCAAAATATCTGCCCAGTTGTAGGCACATTCATTGAGTCGGTTTTTGAAGATCTTAAGTTTCATTCAGTAGCAGTAAGCTGCTTTCCATGTAACTTTGAAATATGAGCTTTGTTCTTCTCTTCCAGAATGTGATGGAGCAGTTCAACCCAGGACTGCGGAATCTGGTTAACCTGGGAAAAAGCTATGAGAAATCAGTGACCGGTAATCACATCACATCACTTAATTTACATATGCATTCACCATACTTGTGCATTTTCTGCTCAACTGCTCAAGTAAACTCAATGTTTTTCTAAAAATTGTCGTGATGCACGATGTTCCTGTTAATCAATATGAGTTATTCACTCTCCTACAGCAATGACCTTTGCTGGAAAGGCATATTTCGATGCAGTCTCAAAGATTGGGGAAAATGCTGCCGTATCGCCAGTTTCTAGGGAGCTGGGTGAGTATTAATCTTTAAATCATCACCCAGAGGTCCTAATCTGGTCTTCGCCAAAATGGATGTTCTCTGTGCACAGCGAGGCTTAACATTTCCTCGTAGATGATTCATAGCACTCAACATTTCTTTGAATATCCAGTGCCAGTTATTTCCTCATTTTGTCAAAAGGCAGTTCTACGTTTGTGTCTGCTTTAAGCCGCAGACAGGTTTGGTTCTTGTTGACTTTTTATGACTCAGCATCAGTTTGGTTGTCAGGAAATAATGACAGAGCTTTACTGTGATTCATAAACTACCATCTGTTTCATGCCAAGTTTTCATACCCGCCACCACCGCCGGTTTGTGTTTTGTTTTGTTTTTTTTATAGCAAATTACAAAGATCAATAGGGGATTATCACTAGGGCTGGGTAATAAATATCGATTTCTCGATATTAATCGATTCTCATTTTTACAAACCGATATCAATTCTTAAATCTCAAGAATCGATTAGTCATCCTGTTTCATTTGAATGAATGAGACATTGTATCGCGGCTGCGCGCATCCAACAAATCGCAATAATCTTTGTCCTTTGTTACTATTGATATGAAACAAAGTCTCAATTTTCAAATTACGTCCATTTTCTTTAGAAATTCAAAAACATAAATTGCGTTTTGGCGCTGTGGCGTGAGATCGCTCTGGCGCAGCTCTAGAGAAGCAGCAGCGCTGATCTCTCTTCTGGCTTAATAATGCCACTTACAGCGCGAAATAAACATGAATGAGCATCTGAAAGTGTGTTAAAAGATAGAGTACAACTTATCGAAATCCCTATCATGTCACATTGATTCGCTCAATCTGCGTTTCAACCGTGGAAAGACGTCAATTAAACAGCTTGTAATCAATGTCATGTATCGTCATATTTACCTCGGAAAACTCCACATAAACAGACTCGTTAGTCCACACTCGTTAGTGTTCTTCAATATTTAATGCATATTTGAATAAATCTGGCAAGTTTTTATGACAGCCACCATTTAAATGTTTATATTTCATATAATCTTCTTATTATAAAAAATAAATAAAAGTGTAATTTAAGTGTTTGTACAGCTACAAAACAGTTAATTATTACCTTCATATTAGGCTAATGAAGCCTAGTAGGCTACAACTAGACATAGACCATAGTTTACAGCATTTAAGAGATTTGATTCTCTTGAGAAAAATTGCCATTTATTGTAACTGATATCCAAAATAATCGATATTGAATCGAATCGAATCGAATTGCAAGCTTGTGAATCGAAATCGAATCGAATTGTGAAATTTGTCTCAATACCCAGCCCTAATTATCACGCTTCCGGGTTTCATGGGTGGGATTTGTCAACTTTGTGCATGTCCACTTCCGACGCAGTTCAACAATGCCTGAGACGAAGGCTATACTATGTCACTGCTCTGTTCCACTTTGTAAATCTAAACAACAACGCCAACCCTACTTAAGTTTTCATGGATTCCCGACTGAATTGAGTATAAGGAAGAAGTGGATTAAAACTTTAAAATAAAACAAGGTAGCGCGTTTGTTTGCAGCCGGCACTTTAGTGAATCAGACTAATTTACCAGGGATGCCGTATTAATAAACTTAGTGTAGTCCGTTATCAGTTCGCCAGCGAGATCGGTGATTCAACGGAAGTGGCAGCGCACAAAGATAACTGAATCCGGAAGTCCTACGTATCAGCGTGATAATCCCCTATGGCTTTACCTTAACATTCATCTTTTAATTTGCTAAAAAAAAAAGTACACAATCACCTTATTGCAAATCATTTTTAGGGATGCACGATATATCGGCCCCAATATCGATATATGTTTGGTATGTTTTAATTAGGGCTGTCAAACGATTAATCGCGATAAAACGCATCCAAAATAAAAGTATGTGTTTACATAATATATGTGGGTGCACTGTGTATAATTATTTTATATATATATAAATACACACATGCTTGTATATATTAAAGAAATATTTTCATGTATATAGATTTATATATCATTTATATTAAATATAAATATAAATATTTTATATATAAAGAATATATTTTTCTTAAATATACATGCATGTGTGTATTTATGTATACTGTATATATACAAAATAATTATACACAGTGCACCCGCATATATTATGTAAACACAAACTTATATTTTAGATGCGATTAATCGCAATTAATCTTTTGACAGCCCTAGTTTTAATATTATCGTTATCAGCCCAATAAAAAGTTTTGCCAGGTATGTTAAAGCTGATAAATAATGGATTATTTCCTTTAGCTGACACCCTTCAGATGCTCACTGTTCACCGTGGTCGTATTGAATTGCTTGAAATATGATTGGAATCACTTCAAAAAAGGAAATTACAGTTAAGTATTTAACTGTAAAAGATATAAAACATCATTATAATTGTGTGCTTGGGGCATGGATTTTAACGATGAGACTTTTGTTTTTGTGATCAGGCTCTCTAAAATTATATAAAAAATGTCGAATTTATTTATATCGGCTTTCAAAAATAAAGAAGAATCGGTATTGGCCAAAAATT